TGGGTTTCTTGCAGTAGTGTTTTGTAGTTTTCAAGTCTTTTTCTTTACATATTTTCTTCTCATCTTTTTCATTGTTGTTGACTTTGTGTTTGCTGAGTCTTTATATTTTTCTAGTTTTTTATTTTGACTTATAGGATTGTTAGTTTCCTTTGTGGTTATTTAATATTTACGCCTATTTTTCTAAGTTTAAACCAGTCTTTTATTTCTTCATATTGCCTTGACTTCCTCTGCATATGAAAAATCTATGTCTACATTTTTTAAGTCCCTCTTTTTTGTTTTAATGTTGTCATCTTTTACATATTGACCTCTGTTTCCCTATTTTCAGTGTTTCAGCTTTGATTTACTTTTGTGACTTCCCTATCTGCGTTGATATCTGGTTGCTCTGTCCTGTGTTCCAGTCTTGGGTTGTTATCTGAGGTTACTGATTTTCTAACTGGAGGACTCCCTTTAGTATTTGTTGTAATTTTGTTTTGGTTTTTGAAAATTCCCTGAACTTCTGTTTATCTGGAAATGCTCTAATTTTGCCATCATATTTGAGAGACAGTTTTGCTGGATATGTAATTCTTGATTGGCAGTTTTTTTCTTTTTCTTTAAGGTTTTATATATGTCATCCCATTGCATTCTTGCCTGCATAGTTTCTGCTGAGTAGTCTCAGCTTATTCTTATTGACTCTCCTTTGTAGATGACTTTTCATTTATCCCTAGCTGCTCTTAAAATTCTCTCTTTATCTTTGGTTTTGGCAAGTTTGATTATAGTATGTCTTGGTGACTTTCTTTTGGGATCTACCTTATGAGGGGTTCGATGAACATCCTGGATAGATTTCTTGTCATCTTTCACGGTATGAGGGAAGTTTTCTGTCAACAAATCTTCAACAATTCTCTCTGTATTTTTATGTTATCCTCCCCTGTTCTGGTGCTCCAATCACTCGTAGGTTATTCCTCTTGATAGAGTCCCACATAATTCTTAGGGTTTATTCATTTTTTTTAATCCTTTTATCTGATTTTTCCTCAAATAAGTTGGTGTCAAGTGCTTTATTTTCAGCCTCACTCATTGACTTCCACTGCCTCAATTCTGCTCCTATGACTGTCTATTGAGTTGTCTAATTCTGAAATGTTATTGTTAATCTTCTGGATTTGTGATTGCTGTCTCTCTATGGATTCTTGTGGTCTGTTAAATTTGTCATTATGCTCTTCTGTGATCTTTTTAATTTCCTCTATTGTGTGTTCTGTGTTTTGCTTAATTTCCTTCCTTATTTCTTGAAGTGTTCTGTGTATTAATCTTTTGTATTCTGCCTCTGGTAATTCGAAGACATTTTCCTCCTCTGGAAAATTTCTAGATTCTTTATTTCCGGAGCTTGCTGAAGCCATCATGGATTGCCTCTTTATTTGATTTGATATTGACTCTTGTCTCCGAGCCAACAATAAGTTACTATATTTATTTATTTTGTTCGCTTACTGTGTCCTAGCTTCTAGTTTTTTTTTTTGTTTTTTGTTTTGGTATGCCCAAATAGGCTGCTCATATGAGCTAGTTTGATTATTGGCAGCTTTGAAGCTCTAATGTCCTGTCACCAGGTGATTAGATCAGTTACTAGGTATGTGAGCTCAGGAGTCCGCCCACTCCTCCTGTATGGATTCAGCTCAGGTGCCCAGGTAGATAGCCACCAAGTGTGTGGTGTAGGCTCTCACCTACAGTCCTAGACAGGCATGGGTGATTGGTGTAGGCAGAGGCATCTGGCTGCAGCAGGGGGACACACTCTGAGCAAGGCAGGGGGCTGATGGCTACCCCCAAGTGTCCAGGAGGAAGGCATGTCCCTGTTCCCTAGAGCACATAGGTGGGTGGGTTTTGCAGCCGGACTATGAGCACCTGATGCTATTGGCTGTAAGGACTGGGGGGCACCTCTTATGCATGGCCCTCTATCGCAGGTGGCTAGGTGGTGTGGGTGGAGCCACCAGTCCTCAAGCCCCTGATGTGGATAGGTGAAGACCCTGCTTAATGGGCACAGCAGTATCAATGTCAAGAACCTGCCACTTCACAGCTGAAACAGTTGAAGGTAGAGTTCCAGTATATACGCTGTTGTACCGTGGTAATAAGGGCCTACTCTGTTGAGATGGGCCCACAGAAGTCTCTGTAGGGGGAAAGGTACTCAAAGTCCGTGGATCCCTTATGCCTGTGCCTAGGCAAAGGAGCTGTGCCTAGCCTGGGTTCCTGGCTTAGGGGAGCCAGCAGTTTGTTTTTTCCCGTTTGTTAATTTGTTCACTCTCCAAGGCAGGGAGAATGGCTCCAGGCATGTGATGGATTCTACTTCCGGCCCAGGGGACTTGGCAGTTGCTGAAGCTGGTCCGGGACCCAGGGCAGAGCAGGAAGCGAGGATGTAAATGGGAGAGAGGTTTTTCCCTAAGGAAGGGTGTTTTTGATCCACGTGGTAAGCCGTACGCAAGTACTTATCTTCCCTGATGTGAGCTGTGTAGACTCTCTGGCGCTGGGTCTTTCCCAGTGCAGAAAACGTGCGTCCCGAGTACTGCCACTTGCCTGCCTCACCACTCACCCACGAGCTGCTCAGGCCTGAAGGGCTCAGGCTCTCGCCGAGTCACATCTGGCAACTCCTTGCTGCTTCCGAACCATCTCTCCCTCCCCCTGCCACTCAGTCTGGTTCCTCAACTCTGCCTTTGATGTTCAGGGTTCCCAGATTGCCATATATAATCGAATCACTTGTTTTTTTGGGTCTTTGTTGTCAGTGGGTCCACTAGAAGTGTCTGACTACTCCGCCATCTTGGCCCCACCTCCCTTACAGTGTTTCTGATGCCAGAACATTTCAGAGTATTGCACTTGTCTGCCCACATAAATAAAACAGTAATTGTATGCCAGACAGACTTGTCAAATGAGAGTGGTATATATTTGGTATTTAATAAATAACTATTGAATGAATAAATACATTGAATAAAATTTGTTTTTCAAAAGCCATGATAATTAAAATCGGTGAACAATGAAAATAATTACCAACCCCAGCTATCAACCCACTGAATTTTAGCTGCTGTCAATGTAATACAATCCCAATACAATGAGATAATTTGGTATCTCCTTCAAAATCAGTTAACTGAAAATAGCTTTACATAAAAATATGCATCTTTAGGAATGTAAAACATTTTTTCTGCAAATTCCATGAGGTGTTTCCAACTGAATCCCTGAATAGATGGAAATCAATAGTAACTTCATTTTGACAGATGCAACCGTAAGAAAAGCACAATTTTATTTACATGGAACAGATACAAATCTGCAATATTAAGAAATGTTCTGGCATCAAAATACTCTGGAAATGTTGAGGGGGGGATACCCACCACTACCACTAATTCCTCATCTAAAATAAATAAATAAAGAAACCTCAGGCTTTTATTTAGGTTTTCTTATGCTAGAAATGTAGCATGTTCTTGAAATGAGGAAAGAAAGATTCCTCCTACTTCACTTGTCTGTCTAGGATGAACATTAAAAGTGCTACACAGCACTGGAACAGGCAGCCCTCTGCCTACCAAGTGGACGGCTTTGCTCGCTCTGGTTTGTGTACATTGTGAGCCCCACCAGGGTCCTTGTAGTAATGTGTATTCCAGGCGAGGCCATCCTGAATGCTTTAAACCTCTAAGCAGTAGCCAATCATTTCCTGCTATAAATCTCATCAATCAAACCTAACCCTTCCCTGGCCAGTATCAACAAGCACCCATCATATACTCTCTAAAGCTACAAAGGACATAAAGGAAAAATTGTGGGATACTACTGCCAACTGGAGAACAGGAGGGAATCTAAAAAAAACCTTCTCTGTTTTTTCTTAATCCCCAAATTTCTACAGCAGCTAGTAGCATACAGGTGAAGAGACAGTCAACTCTTCAACAGTGTTTAGAAATCAAAGGCAGAGCAGAGACACTGCTTCCACCTCTGCATGTGATTACACCATTCTCTCTCCTGCACTCACAAAATCTGCTTCCTCTTTCAACAGTGGCCAGCTGGTTTTCCAGAGGTGCCTCGTTAAGATTTGCTGAACACACGCCCACCCCTTTAAGTTATGTGCGGCACACAAAACTCACCACTGCATTTGCGTGGGAGAGATCCAAATGGAGGGGGGACTGCCTCAAGGCCTGACGGTCCTAAAAATGTAGCCCGCGTCGACCCATTGTGGTCAAACTGGCGTCTCTGTATAGACCCAGAGCTCCAAGCCAAAAAATGCTAAATCTCACAGGATTCAGAAATGGCTTTGCCTTAAAGTAGGTATTTTTCTAAGACGACACTAGTCTGTGAGTGGATTTGTTTTACAAACATCGTGTAGGCACAACACATGCAATGAAGGCCTTTATTCTCTAATCTGGAGCTACAGGAGGCTGAGCAAGAGTTAAAGGAGGAGGGCCCATGTCTTGAGTTTCTGACTTCTATAACTTCAAGAGATTGCTTTCTGTTAACCATAAATAAAATTTAGCATTCCTAAAATTGTTTCCACATTACTTATGAATCCTTTCACAGAGAAAATAGGTCTAAAAGCCTTCAAACAAGGACTCCAGACTAAACAAAATTATCTCATTTTGATATTCAGAAAAACGGAAGGCATGGCAGTTAGACAATGCACTGACGAAGTACCTCTGTGTGGAGCAAAGATGGGTTTCATTTAGCAATGCCGGGCTGCTGACAGCGACATCAGCACCAAAACAGGGCTCCTTCCCCACATCACTCGACATGGGATTCAGAGAAGTAAAGATCTACATACTTTTGGAGTGCTAGGCTTCCAACCCAGTGAGTAAATCATTCTGTCTTTGAAAGAAACAAGCAAATGCAAAATATCTTTTCAAGAGAACATCTCCAACTAATTTCTTTTTCAGCCTTTTGAAATTATCTGGATTTTAGGTACAAAATGCAAAGTGGTAAGTTAGATACCAATGCCAAAAAGGCAACTGCAAATGAAAGGGGGTTGGGGTGCCCTACTAGAGAAAAACCAGGAAGGGAGTTTGCTCCTCTTTACCCACCTGCCTCTGGGCCTCTGCCAAGTTGAAGGGCAGAGTTCCCTCTTCCAGAGGTGCAATTCGTTCAATGTCTGCTAAGGTCATTCGTCTGGAGGGAAAAACAAACACAAACAACAACAAAAGTATCAGTTTACTACAATTTACATAATGGAATTTTAAAACAATCATTTTTATGTCCCATATTTCTGAGTAGCCTTAATTCTTTTTCTCTGGATTGCTGCCCTCCTCTTACCCCCAACTCCTAACCTCCTTTTATTAAGCTGATTAAAAAAAAAAAAAGGCAACTTACCCCCGTGGCTCATATAAATCTGCTAATTGAAACAAGATGTCAACTTCCATGGGTGTAACTTGACCAAATTTCTGAGCTGCCAGAACAAACTCCTCTGTATGGGGGAAAAAAAGTTAAAAGAGAAAGATTCAAGAAGGAATTGCCACTAAATTCAGCATTAACTCAAGGCACTGGAATGAGTATCACAAAACTTTATGATTATCAATTATAGAATTCACGTCAACTCAAATAGGGTAAGAATATCTCAATTCCTTCAATCATCTGGGAAGAGTGTGCAGAATATTTTCTCTAACATTTAGTTTACAAGCTTAGTGTCATCTGAAGGCTTAGCATAAATGACACAGGATGTGATTCAAATTGCAGGTCAGGGAAAACAAGGAAGCAGATATGAAACTCCCCGGAGGTTATGTTAAAAAAGCTTTGGAATTCCTAAGGGAATTCTCTGTTGTTGTTTTTTTTTTTAAAATTCCATTAAAACGCTGATAATATCTTGTTCCAAGACTGTAGATCAACTTACATTGTCACCAATTCTTCATCTACTTCTGAAGGCCACTTTAGAGGCTGCCAATTTAGCTCAAGATTTGGGAACATTTTTAAAAACTTCATCTGTTTTCTTCATCCTAAGACTGTCTTCAGTTTATTTAAAACTTGCTGAGGATTATTTTTTGTTTGCTTTTGTTTGTCTGCTCAGGAGATGGAGAATATGCATGTAACCTATGGTAATTTGTGTCAGTGGCATAGACAAATCCATAATACAATCTCTTGGTTGTTCCCTTAACCTTAATAGCAATATCCCAGGATATTTTCAGGCAAGCATTCAGAGATGTTCTCACTCACCCTTTGTCACTTCTACATCTTTTCTGTTGCCAGCCAGAGTACTGTAGATCTTTCTAATGAGTTCCATATTGTTAAGGAGTGAATTAAATCCATTAAAATAGGAGAAACTAACTTGATGGGATGTGGTACCTCCAGCAGCCTCAAATAAGTTGAAAACAAGAAAGGGAAGAAGAAAAATAAACAAAGGATTTATAGAATGAAGAAGATTCAGAAGCACATGTATCAAATGCTACTTTGGAAGTAATCCAAGAATGCATGCATAAGAAGAAATGGTCATGATTATTTTCTTTTACATTAAAAAAAAAGCTATAAATGATTTTTAAAAGTAACTGCAACTAATCATGACCAGAACTTGCACTCTCCACACAACTCCTAGAAAACTAAATAAATGCATGTGTAGGATTATAACAACAGGACCAGTAGTAATTTATAGAGTTCAAATTTCAATTGGAAATGTTTTATAAGTTGGTTTATTTTATCTAATGAGCAAATCTTAAAGGCTTATGCATGCAAAACTATATTATACACACTCACAGATGCAAAACTATATTATAGCAATGCAAACATACTATGAAAAGTGGTCAATCTAACATTAATATCAAGACTTGTCATGTTACTTACAACTAGCAATACATAATCATTTAAGCACAGACTTTACATTGGTGGGATTTTCTAGCAAATAAGTGTATTATGGTAAAATTATGAGATGTCATATGCTTTGATGGGGGTTAACACTGGTCAGAATTCTGATAATCAGGATTTGTAAGAAACCATATATCTTCACCAGGGACAAGCGAAACAGACAGCATGTCTATTATGAATGAGACTTCAATTTGGGGTTTCAAACTCTAGGCTTCCCTAACAAGGCAAAATATTTTCATTAGGAAAGCACTTCTTTATAAGGTAACAACCACATAAATCTTCATTTAGTAATCATTTAAAATAGCTGACATGAGAGTTTAAAATGGGGTAGGGAATGGGGGCCAAGAGAAGGAGCCAGATTAATATAGTTCCAAAGAGGAAAAGGCCATGTTAGGATGCCATGATGCCACTTCCTCAAAAAGGGGCACCAGGAAAAAAAGCAAAAGCAAAAGTCTACTTTGGTAAGCACTGGGGGAAACCCAGATGATGGTGAAAGCACTCAACATGTTCTCCCTGGGATTAACCAAAGGAGAGATTGCGTAATGGTTCCCATATTTGAGTGATCATCAGAATCATCTAGGAAGCGTTAGAAACTACAGATTCCAAGATCTCACCACCTGTGGATGCTGAAATTAGTAGGCTTCGAAGAGACCTTGGAATCTGTATTTTTTTAGTTATCCCTGGTGATTCTGATGTTCCATACCAAGGCTTGGAACCACCACCATATGATATCGTAAGATGCCCCTGCGGTCCATGAGGTAAGGACAGTGGCTGGACGTCCACTAGGATAGACACTCCATGATACAGAATAGCAGGGCTATCATATCTGCCACTATAGCCGCAGCACATACATGTTGAATGAATGAGTGAATATAACGTTTAGAGCTTCCATTCTGCTCCCTACTCTAGCAAGGAAATATAGGTGTGTACAATTTTTTTTTTTTAATTTTTGCATTGGAGACCAGATAGAAGTGGAGAGCAGCATTTGACATACATCAAAATATAAAGCAATATTAACAAGAAATCACAATTTTTTTCTTTTTTCTTTAATCAGTTAATATATTTCTCTAAAATATTCCATATTATTTAGACCAAAAAAAAATTAACTTACCCACTAAAACTAGCCAGAACACAGCTGTAAGCATGGTAATGTATGATGTCACATTAAGAAAATGTTACTATTTAAACAGAAGATCCATATATAATTTATAAGAATTACTTACAATCACTTATTTACTGAACTTACACCAGATAGAATAAACTGCTTTATTAGGGCAAACTGTTTACAACTTACAGCTACTAGACATTCTTCCACAAAAGGTGTCAAGACATGGGGGCGGATGGTGACCATGATGTCTCGGAAGTCAATGGCTGTGACTCTTCCGGTCCTGGCATTGTCCCGCTGTACAAATGCTTGCTTTGCATGCTCCAACTGTATTTCCTACAAATGAAGGTGAAATACTTACTTTATGCTTCTCACTTAATTACTATAAATGACTGATCATTTTTAAATTATGGTGTAGACATATAAATAACATCTTGATTCAACAAGCCCCCATCTGTTTGTTAAACAGTGGTCCCCCCAAGCAATTGTCTCCTTCCAAGACAGAAAACTTTGCTCCGACCAGTGAACATGTCTTGAGAAAATGCAGTCCACCTTAAATCTGAGGAAACCAAATCACTTTTGTGCTCTGCTTGAGTCCAAGGACACAAAGAAAATAGTAACTGGAGTGAAATTTGGTAGGTTCAAAGATCTGGCCGAACCCAGGCTGGTGATGCAGGTGATAAAAGGAAAAATGCTTGCAGGGACACTAACATTTCGCCAAGGAAGAGAAAAAATCTTTAAGTCAACCTGGTGCAAACGTGATATAACAACAGACTGAAAAGAGCGATTCTCCTCTAGAATACGCAATTCCTTATCTCCAAAGTTTGGATTTCCCAACCTTGGCACAACTGGCGTTTTGGGCTGGGTAAGTCTTTGTTGTGGGGGCTGTTCTGTGCATTGCTGGATGTTCAGTAGCATCCCTGGCCTCTTCCCATTTGGTACCAGTAGCATGACAATCAAAAATGTCTCAAGACATTACCAAATGTCCCTTGGGGAGCAAAATCACCCCAGTTGAGGACCACTGCTCTAGAAAAGGAGGTAGATAGTATGTGGGTCAGACAAGGCAAAACCATGGCAGTACCTTTGAATATATGTTTTAAATCATACACTCTAAGGATAGGATGCCCAATCTTAGAACACTGCTGCTATTCTCAGGGGTAAGTATACACACAAAATAAAACATAGCCTCCTATCAAAAATCAGTGTGAGCAACATAGGGTAAGCATCCCTTCTGCAGAGAAGGAATTTTACTATCTTCTCACATCCCTCTGCCCATTTCCCACACCAGCCCATGACCACAGAGTAAGATCTAATCTCCATCTAATTTTAAAAGTATCACTAATATGGCTCTTAATAACTTCAAATTTTTTAAATAAGGAGGTATTATTGGATGATATAGAGGAATTTTTTTCCCCCACTTTGTTTGGTGAGATAATGTCTCAAGTCCACACCACCACCAGCTGCCGTTCTGGCTCACAGCGACTCCATGTATGTCAGAGTAGAGCTGTACTCCATAGGGTCTTCAATGGCTGGTATTTTGGATGTAGATTGCTAGGGATTTCTTCTGAGGTACCTCTGGGTGGACTAGAAACTCCAACCTTTCGGTTAGCAGCTGAGCATGTTAACCTTTGCACAATCCGGGGACTCTAATGGCTTGGCAGTTACATAAAACATAAGCGTCCTTATGAATCAGTGGAAACCAAAGTATGGGAGAAATGACATGAAGTCTGCTGTTGCTTTGAAGTATTCCATCCTCTTCTTGTTTCCCCCCAAATGGGGGGGGGGGGCGTGTAAGAAAACTAATAAAATATTGATAATAATTGAAGTAATGGGTACAGTGGTAGGTCATTATACTTTTCTCTCTAAACGTGTAGTTTCAATATTATCTACAATGAAATATATTAAAAAAAACAAGATATTTAATAGTAAGAGTCAGCATTATCATTCTATTTAAACACTTCTTCTCAGCTGGGCATCTGCCAGTTTTGATCCAATTTGTCCTTACTGAAATTCTTTTCCTGGACCTTAAAATCTTTCTGGCATCTCTTCCACTCACTCCTTAAATCGAGGCATTCGTCAGCTGTCTATTCTGAGGTCTCACTCTACTCTGCAAGCAAGGTCCTCCATTACCAAGGCCTCAAGGATACCTTTTATGCCAAAGTTTGATTCCCAGATTCTAATTACTCACTCCTATCTGCTACGCCAGAATTTCTGTTTAGAGTATACATCCACGTAGGTACCTTGTTAAGGCCATAAAATAACACTTACTGTTGTTGTTAGGTGTCATAAAGTCAGTTCTTACTCATAGTAACCAACCCTATGTACAACATTGCAGCCACTATGTCAATCCATCTCGCTGAGGGTCTTCCTCTTTTTCACTGACCCTCTACTTTATCAAGCATGATGTCCTTCTCCAGGGACTGGTCCCTCCTGATAATATGTCCAAAGTATGTGGGACAAAGTCTCGCCATCCTTGTTTCTAAGGAGCATTCTGGCTGTACTTCTTCCAAGACAGATCTATTCGTTCTACTGGCGGTCCATCATATATTCAATACTCTTCACCAACACCACAACAAAGGCGTCAATTCTTCTGTCTTCCTTATTCACTGCCCAGATTTCGCACACATATGAGGCGACTGAAAATACCATGGCTTTGTTCAGGTGCACCTTAGCCCTCTAAGGGCTATCTTTCCTTAACACGTTAAAGGGTCTTTTGCAGCAGATTTGCCCAATACAATATACTGTTTGATTTCTTGACTGCTGCTTCCATGGGCTTTGATTGTAGATCCAAGTAAAATGAAATCCTTGACAATTTCAATATGTTGTCTGTTTATCATCATGTTGCCTACTGGTGCAGGTGTGAGGCTTTTGTTTTATGTTGAGGTGCAATCTATACTGAAGGCTGTAGCCTTTGACCTTCATCAGTAAGTGTTTCAAATCCTATTCACTTTCAATAAGCAAGGTTGTGTTATCTGTATAACACAGGTTGTTAATGAGTTTTCCTCTAATCCTGATGCCCCGTTCTTCTTCATACAGTTCAGCTTCTCGGATTATTTACTCTAGCACACAGATTGAATAAGTATGGTGAAAGGATACAGCCCTGATACACACCTTTCCTGATATTAAACCACGCAGTATCCCCCTGTTCTGTTCCCACAACTGCCTCTTGGTCTATGTATAGATTCCACGTGAGCACAATTAAGAGTTCTGGAATGCCCATTCTTCGCAATGTTACCCATGATTTGTTATGATCCAGACAGCTGAATGACTTTGCATAGTCAATAAAACACAGGTAAACATCTTTCTGGTATTCTCTGCTTTCAGCCAAGATTCATCTGACATCAGCAATGATAGGTTCCATGTCCTCTTCTGAATCTGGCTTGAATTTCTGGCAGCTCCCTGCTGACGTACTGCTGAAGCTGTTTTTGCATGATCTTCAGCATAATTTTACTTGTATGTGATATTAATGATAGTGTTCAATAATTTCCGCATTCTGTTGGATCACCTTTCTTTAGAACAGACACAAATATGGATCTCTTCCATTCAGTGGTCAGGTAGCTGTCTTCCAAATTTCTTAGCATAGACAAGTAAGCACCTCCAGCACTGCATTCGTTTGCTGAAACATCTCATTTGGTATTCCGTCAATTCCTGGAGTCTTGTTTTTTGCCAATACCTTCAGTGCAGCTTAAACTTCTTCAGTACCATCAGTTCTTGATCATATGCTACCCCCCGAAATGGCTGAATGTCGACCAATTCTTTTTGGTACAGTGACTCTATCTATTCCTTCCATTCCTTTTATTTATTTATTTTTTTGATGCTTCCTGCATTGTTTAATAGTTTCCCCATAGAATTCTTCACTATTGCAACTTGAGGCTTGAATTTTTTCTTCAGTTCTTTCAGCTTGAGAAATGCCAAATGTGTTCTTCACTTTTGGTTTTCTAATTCCAGGTCTTTGCATGTTTCATTATAATACTTTACTCTGTCTTCTGGAGCCACCCTTTGAAATCATCTGTTCAGCTCTTTTACTTCATCATTTCTTCTGTTTGCTTTAGCTCCTCCACATTCAAGAGCAAGTTTTCAGAGTCTCTCTTGACATCATTTTGGTCTTTTCTTTTTTTCTTGTCTTTTAACAATCTTCTGCTTTCTTCAAGTATGATGTCCTTGATGTCACTCTACCACTCATCTGGTCTTCAATCATTAGTGTTCAACGCATCAAATCTATTATTGAGATGGTCTCTAAATTCAGGAGGGATATACTCAGGGTTGTACATTGGCTTTCGTAGACTTGTTCTAATTTTCTTCAGCTTCAGCTTGAACTTACATATGGGCTACTGATGGTCTGTTCTGCAGTAGGCCCCTGGTCTTTATCTGACTGATGACATTGAGCTTCTCCATCGTCTCTTTCTCCAGATGTAATTGATTTGATTCCTGTGTATTTCATCTGGCAAAGTCCACGTGCATAATAGTCACCATTTCTGTTACTGAAAAAAGTTATGTGCAATGAAGAAGTCGTTAGTCTTGCAAAGTTCTATCATGAGATCTCCAGTGTTGTTTCTGTCACCAAGGACATATTTTTCAACTACTGACCCTTATTCTTTGTTTCCACTTGTCTGTCAGTTTGTCATACTGTGGTGGCTTGCGTGTTGTTGTGATGCTGGAAGCTATCTCTCCGGTATTTCAAATACCAGCAGGGTCACCCATGGTGGACAGGTTTCAGCTGAGCTTCCAGATTAAGAAAGAGAAGGAAGAAGGAACTGGCGGTCTACTTCTGAAAAAACTGGCCAGTGAAAACCTTATGAATAGCAGTGGAACCATGTCTGATATAGTGCCAGAAGATGATCCCCTCAGGATGGAAGACATTCAAAATTCAACTGGGGAAGAGCTGCCTCCTGAAAGTAGAGTAGACTTTAATGATGTGGATGGAGTCAAGCTTTCGGGACCTTCAACTGCTGATGTGGTGTGACTCAAAAAGAGAAGAAATAGCTGCAAACAATAATCAGAACGTGGACTGCATGAAGTATGAATCTAGGAAAACTGGAAGTCCTCAAAAATGAAATGGAATGCATAAAGATCAGTATCCTAGGCATTAATGAGCTGAAATGGACTGGTATTGGCCATTTTGAGTCAGACAATCATATGGTCTACTATGCTGGGAATGACAAACTGAAGAAGAATGGCATCACACTCATTGTCAAAAAGAATATTTCAAGCTCTATCCTGAAGTATACCCCCATCAGTGATAGGATAATATCTATACGACTACAAGGAAGATCAGTTAATATGACTATTATTCAAATTTACGCACCAACCACTAAGGCCAAAGATGAAGAAATTGA